AAATCCCCCCTCCCCTGCTTAGAACATGGCAGAGGTTGGTAAAGTGCAAACCTAAGGCTAAGTATAAAAAACAGGTCAACCAAGGAAGTTGCTAGTTAGTAGTACTCTTTCAGGGTCCATGTTAAAAAAACAACAACAATAGCAGCTAAGAAGGGAGCGTGTTACCTTAACTATAAACAGACTTATAGGAGCCCCAAACATTTTCTCATTTCCTGAGAAAATCCCTACTATGAGCAGATGCACTCTGAAATGAGGAGGACTCAGACCACACTGTGCTGTCACAGAAAGCTACCTATGGAAAAGCCCAGGAGCAGGGATCACAGCAGCCATAGTTTTTCCCATCATAAATAATCTCCAGATGAATCCTTTGGAAAAATTCTGCAATCTACAATCAGCCTTTTCTGTCAGTGCACAGGTTCCACATATCTGAACACAATGGTCTCTTTCCTGCTTTTTCAAGTGATCATGTTGAACCAAGTGAAACATGTTCACGTTTTCATGATGGATCTCTCAAATGTACTGGTGTTTGTGGCTCATTCTCTTGGTGGGTACTGAATGAGCCTCTGCTATGGGCCAAGGAAATAAACGAAACAGGTCAAGTGCCTGCCCTCATGGAGCAAGCATCCCAGTGAGGAACAGCTTCCTCATCCCAATAGTGGGCTGGCTTCTCTGTGGTTCCTCTCCCTGTCTGTATCCTAGGTTGCCTGGTTCATGGGAACCCCAAACACAGACAAAGATAGAAGAAACTCAAGAAATCCTCTGTAGTATCATCATAGGAGCAAGTGGTCTTCAGACCCAAGGAACTTTTAACTTTTAATACAAGGATGAGAATAAAAGATTTTCAGCAGGTATATATATGTTTATTCCTTGACATCTCATATCTCCTTTCTTCTTCCTTTCCTTCTCCTTTATCCCCCCGACTCCTACTCCATTTTATACACACACACACAACATAGACCCCCCCTTCTAAATACCTAATGATGTATACATACAAATGCACCAGCTACACAAAACTGTACAAACATTCAAGCTATACATGCTGGAGAACCAAGGTATGACTACATAAAGGAATGCAAGACCTACTGTCAAAAATTCATCAACACTCACAATCATATCTGTCACCACATCTTACCTATAAGAGAATGAATAGTCATTAATGCAAACGAAAACACATACTCCAAAACACTGTTTAATATCGCTGTGATGCTCAGTCCAATCACCCCCTGCTGCTCTCCCCATGGTTTCTATAAGGTTCTGAAGATTAAACCCATTGGTAGTCAGCTTTGTATATAGGCCTGTAAACAAGAGGGCTCAGCTTTAAATAATTACGTCAAAGAAATGGCAACTGTGCTTTTTGCCAGAACAGGGATGAATAATTACAAAGCCAGGACATAATTAAGCGATTCTGACTGTCAGATTTTTGAGCTGTGCCTCTGATGTGCGAGGCCAGTGTTCCTGCCACACACCCTCCTGGATGGGCCTCTGCGTGCCTTTGATCTGCATTTCCCAGTGCAGCCAGTGGGGTCAAGGTTTGGTCCTTATAGACGCCTTTCCGTGGGAGCCTCAACCTTCTCTGTACCCAGCCTGATGCTCTCCGTATTGACAATGGTATGATTCAGTGGCTGACATCTGACAGACATATATCTTTTCTTTAAAATCCTGGGAAATGAGCAAATTCTAGATGTTGCAGATCCATTAACTAAAATACACAGCCACGCAGTTTGGAAGAGCCCACTGTCATATTAGCTATCACCTCCTAATCAATGACAGTGTTCTTCTCTAGAACAGTCAGAGCTCAGACAGAAGGCAGTTTTTAAACAACAAAGGCCAAAAGGCAGCAAGGGAGGAAAGAAAGCATGTCACAGGAAGAGAGAATGAGAGAGAACTCCTCTTAGGCGCCAGGGCCTGCCTGGTCCCAAATCAAACCTTGGTGACACAGGGAGTTTATTAGTTCCTGGCTGATTTTGCATTTGCGTCAGTGGAGAACACCCAGACTGCCTGTTCCCTACCTCCAAAGCAAAGGCTGCAATTGGAAAGGTATTTTCCATTCTCCCAAATACTTTATGTCAGGAATAAAATGAAAACAGCTCCCCAAATCATGCCCCCTTGATCATCTGTCAGCACATTATGCTGAATAAGCACAACAGGCCGCTGCCCCCTCAGCGAGGACAGAAGCCAACCTGAGACTCCAAATCCTTATGAAAAATAGGTTTTTGCCATGTGGACTCAGCACAGAATCGGCAATTCATGGAAAGGAAATTGCTCTCCACTTAGAGGCCGGCTCCGGGTATACAAATACCTCCCACTGCATACATAGGTACACATACACAGAGACAGGCAGGGAATATACACACCTGCACAGGAACAAACAGCCATCTCTACACACTGTGAAACGGTCAAAAGCAGCATTTTGAATGCCAATTTATTAATTCAGCAAGCAGCTCATTTGGTGTCCTTCTATTTGCAAAAAAAAGTACCAAAGTATATCTCCAAAAACAACAGACAAAAGGGTATATTGCCTCTCATTCAAGAGAGGCATTCAGTTTGACACCAAACCAATAACTCTGTATTCCTCTTGTGTTCTCAAAAGATCATGGCGTAAATAGGACACCAAACCAGAAGCCCACGACCCTTGGTTCTGGTCCCCATTGAACCTCATCAGGACTGCGGAGCCCCAGGACATGGTACCCCTCACCCAGTTCCCTCATCTATAAAACCAGAGACCAGAACAAGTGATTTCTGAAGTTCTGTCCAGTTTGGAAATCATGTGGTTCTACAAAAGAGAACCTAAGGTCCCCAGGCTTGGTGAGATCATGTTTGTCTCCCTCCTCTAATTAATGGGCATTTTAAAGCTTAATATGGTTAGCAGGGATGTTAGAGTCAATCACACAAACATGAGCTAATTCTATAATTAATTGAGAAGTAATTGGGAACTCTGAAGAGCATTTCTGCTGATGCTGCTAATAACTCATGGTGGATTTTAAGGAGTCATTCATAGTCACTTTCAAAGTGAAGGGAAGGTTCTAGCTCCTTCCATCTCTATTTGACAGAATAGTCCTACTTTACCTGCATTCTTCATTTATGTCTTCCTGTGAGGTTTGGTTTGAACAAAACGATTCACGGGGACTATATTTAACTCACTGCTTCAGAGATAAGAAAGTAGAGCATGAGGAGCCCTGGCTCCATAGTCAGACACATGGGTAAAACCCCAGCTCTGGCAGGTCCTAGAGTTCACCTCGGCCCAGTGAACTTCAGGCCTGAGTTCCCTCACCTTGATCAATGATCCTTTCCAATGATCCTTTCCTCCTACCTCACAGGGTGATGTGAGGATTCAATCTGTAGATAAAGAACCTTGGGACAGTACACTAAGTGGTAGGTACATATTGAGTATTCTGACCAAGTACAGAGGACAGTGTGTTCAGTACTCCTTCTGATTTCCAATGATAATGAAGACTTTCCTATGCCAAAGGCAAATGAAGGTAGGAGCAACACTGATTTACTCTGCACAGTGTCCGCAGGAAGGAGGGAAATGTAGGAGGGGCAGGTTGTAACCCAAGATATTACAGAGTTCATTTGTTGAGCTTTGCTGGGTTTGGTGATATTAGCTGTCTCTGCAGTATTTTCACCAAAAAAGAAATAAGGGAAGGAAGGATGCAAGAAAAAAAAAGCCAAGAAATAAATTCTTTGATTTGGACAAAATTACAAAAGCTAGACTAATGAAAGGCAGTCATGTGCAATATGTCAAACCTGGGCTTCAATCAGGAGAACTGCTAACACTTTAATAGCTACGAAATGAATCACTCAATTAATTTCTCACATGCTGAAACAGGTAACAATACATTTATCTGCCAGTATTATACCCTCCATATCATATATTTCTACAACTGTTAGCAATTTTATTCAGCATAACAGGAAATCAGTTGCACCTCATGGATTCAAGGGAAAAAAAGGGGGCCCAAGTTCTGCTGCCAACTGAGCAACTTGATGGAAGAGGTTTCATTGTGCTGCTCTGTTTTGGTTTTGTTTGTATTTTTTTCTTCCTCCCTTATTCATGTCCAGTGCATGTACAGAGGTCTGTAAGTCGCTAAGTGAGGACAAACTAGACCTCTAGGACTTCTGTGCCAGTGTTTTCAATACACGAGCTGCAGTCTCATGGGAGGAGACTGTGTAGCTCCACAGAGCCCGGGGGGGACAGTTCTCCAAGGGGTCAGTGGGGGTCACTGAGTTTATTCTCCAGCTTCTGGCTTCACTGAAGGACTCCAACTCTTCCCAAAGAGATAGTTGTGCATATCCTTAAAAACATCCTTGTGTCCGAATCTTAGACCCCCAGCCAAGCCTCCCCTGCCTTGTCAGAACCGCCATTAGGATGACACCACTTTTTGGGCACGGCCCCCTTGCCAATGCAGCTGTAAAGGAAAGGTTATAAACAACATTCTGATGAGCTCTGGAGAGTTACATGTGGGGAGACCAGGCCAAGCCCAGGACACATCAGAAACCACTGCCATCTAATGTTATCTCAGGGACCTACGGAGCCCTCATCTGCGATGGGAGAAAATTACTCTCCCCAGCTCCTCTTTGGTCATAGGAAAGAAGAGCCAGCTTCCGCTGAAGAGGAATGCTACCCACAGCAGAAGCAAGAAATGCCCGGTGCTTTCTCCTTTCTCAGCTCCAGACCTGTAGAGGCCCCATTCTGGGAATATCTTTGAGAAGGAACCCTGAAAACTGACCCTTAGAATTTCATCAATGAGCTGTGTATGGTGCTGCTCTATCAGATGAGACCATCTAATGAATACTGTCCCCTTAGCCTGGGTCACAGGAAAACCCAGTTCATACCCAGTCCTATTTCCTGTTACATCCACAGTGTATCTACATAGGTGAACCATGGCTGTGAGATCCCACTTGCATTCTAAACCCACAGGAGAATGTCCCCCATGCTCTGAAGAATAACCAGGGTCATGAAGTGTCAATCCCTTATGAATATCATGGAATAGGCAGCTCACCTTGGGCTTCACCACCTTCATGAAGGCCCCTCTGACCAATGCCTCCTCTCGTTCTTGTCTAGTTACTTTCTGGGCATCCAAAAACTTCAACCTAGGCAGCTTATGCAGAACAAAGCACCTGGAAAAGGGTGAGAAACAAGCTTGTGATGGCAGGCCCAAATACCCAGGCAATTTGCCTGACCCTTAGGAATCTATTCCATTATAGTACATCCCAGGAGTCTAGATCTTGGCTACCGAGTCACCTATCTCCTGTTACAAAGAATGAACAATCATTTTGGGGGGAAGCTTGAGAGGTTATATTCACACAGACATTCAACTAAACTTTAGAAACATACAGTAATGGCAACAAACATAGGTCAACCAGTAGGACTCTAGCAGTGTATTCTTGTTCTATTCTGGAAAACGGGCCTAGCTTCCCTACACAGGAAGTCCACAGGAAGATTAACCTACACTTTGATTGTACCATTTATGTTCCTATCATTCCTTTAAGTCATTTGTATCACTCTCATCTTAACAGACCTCTATTTTGCCATGTAGGACAAAAAACTAGATTGTTATCCCCTGGATGACTTTGGAGTAGAAGTAGGAACATGAGCAACTTGGAAATGCTTCCTCAAGGAATCAAGCAAAGATCTTGAGGGCTTTTTGTTAACATTACTGGGTTATTTCTACAGTAGTGCTAAGAAGATTATCTTCATCAAGGAGAAAGAAGAAGAGTTGGTTTCTAGGGGCCATTAATAGCCCAACAAATGCCAAGGGACCTCCACTCCCTTTGGAAGACTCTTTGATACTCATTATAGACTCCAGGAATTACATAATGTCTATATGAATAATGAACTGTCCTCAAGCAGGTGTATGTATATGGAGTGACAAGAAGATGCACTTGGTGAGGGTATAGGTTTATAAATATATAATAAATATAGAAAAGGTACAGGCATCTGTCTATACTTCTCCTTTGTTAGTGTCAATCACCAACCCAGATGCTTTCCCTCAAACCCCCATACTCCATCAATCACACAAGCGATTGCCTAGATCTCATCTTGCTTAGGAAGAATAGGCAAGGACCTAACATCAACAGCAATGGATTCTCCAAGGGAATCTGTCACTTCTTTCCTGTCCAAGCCTCCTCAGTATGCACGCATCTTTCAAGACTCAAACTCCATGCAAATTTCTTCTACATCTCTAAGCTGCTTTATTTTCTTTTATATTAGCACTCCTAGAATACAATGGCATCACCATCCAGTCTGACACTTTGCTGTTCTCTATTTTCTTAGTGCTCAATTGATGTCCTTGCCTAAACTATAAACTTCTTGAAGGCAGAGACAATTTTCTTTGTTTACCCTGAACACATCCTGGAAATCTGCATTAGAAGTACTTAGTAACATACCCGTTCATTTTAGCTACACAAATCTTTCTTGAGCACCTACTATGTCATACATAGTGATGATGATATGCTTCCCACTTTCAGAGGGGTTTTTAGCAGAATGGAAAGACACATCCATAAAAGGAAATTAGAAATCAGCTTAAATGCCAAAGTTTATGCACAGAACAGTTATGAGAGCAGAGAAAAAGGACCTATGCTACTGAATAACCAAGGGGAAAAGGAGGAACAGGAATTCAAACGGGCCTCAAAGAACCAAATCCCAAAGTGATCCCAAGCATTTAGCTCTTTTGCAGGACAGAGATTACCTACGGTGCAGTGTGCTCTCCTCATTGCAGCCTTAGATCCCCAGAACCACCTCCCGTGATCATGGGCTGATGATCTTACGTCACCAAGTAGCCTTCATAAGCTCATCCAGGTAAAAGATTTGGCTGATGACTCATAAGCCAGGCACAACAGTTTAGGGCCCTCCAATAATAGCCCTCATATCACTCACTGTCAAGGTCAAAATACCCAAACTCTTTGAGGTACACTTTTCCTCCCCAGTGCTGTCCACCCCAAAGCCTGAGGTCCTGGAATCAGACTCTGTTTACTTCCTGCTTCCTTTCTGGTTACCATCTAATATTCTCCTTTCTATCTCTCCCTAGGCTTCTCCCTTACTTCCCCAAATGCTCCTCTAATATTATCCAAAATCAAGCAGAAGCCAAAAAGGGCCTAAATGTCCTTTCTATCCCCTTGTAGAATTCCCACCGGCCTCAAACTGTCAGAGAAAACTTCCGACTTCTGCTTGTAGCGGCAAAGTCTTGATGACAACAGATTCTTTCAAATAAAGACATGTACAGACAGAAACAATGTCAGGAGTGACGCTCAAAGGAGTAAAGACACCCACTAAGTGTAGGGTGGGAAAAGATGAATATTCAGGTGAAGACAACATTGGTATTAGAAAATCAGCCAATGTTTAATGATGGAGTGAAAGATGCCTTCACAGGGTTGGCAGGAACCACGATGACAACAGATCGCACATTGTCATTTCGCCTCACTTTGGATCACAGCCCTGAAATCAAAGGAGAAAGATAGAGAGGTGCTGGCTTTTAAGCTAGTTACAATTTTTAGATGACAAAGAGCTGCTGTTTCCAAGGCACTCTTCTTATACAATCGAAGAGACAGACCATGACACAGGCTGCCAGTCGTCTGTGAGACGTGGGGTGACCTGGCTCCCATCTTGAGGCTCAGCCTGGATGCCACTGCTTGGGAAGATTTGAGAGACACTAGGAACACTCGCACCAAACAGCTCAGTCTGAGACTCGGCCCAGGGTCCTCAGTGCCCCCTTAGCAATGCCTCCTTTATGTTCTAACTCACACATGCAGCAAATACTTACTGAGCAGCTACCACCTGCCAGGAACTGTCGGAGGTGCTGAGAATAAAGTGACAAATAAAACAGAAGGGCTTTGCTCTCAATGAGCTTAGATTCCAGTGCAGTGGTCCTCAGCCCAGAGCAGACAACAGCACTAGGTTTCTGATTTGGCTCTGGAGTGGGGCCTAGAATTTATGTTTCCAATAACTTCCCAGGTGATGCTGATGCTGCTTTCCTGCAGAGAACCAATGTGCTAGTGAAAATAACACCATGAGGAATAATAGTTTCGGAATTACAAGCATCAAGAGGCAGCCAAGAGTCTCCTTCCTGGTCCTGCTAGCAGTCTTCCCTGCCCCAAGGTCTGTGATCCACAGAGTCCAGACTGTGGCAGTGTCTCCCAGATCTTCGTGCCCTTTGGTGGCTTGCAGCTGGCTCCCAACATTATTGCCAAGTGGTAAGTCAGTGGGCTTCCTGCTCGCCTGTCCCACTCTGGTCTTGGGAGATCTATTTCCCTTTGTTCTAGGTCATGTCAGGATGTCAAAAGCTGCAGCTTCAATTCTGAGTGTAATACAAGTTTGCCATAAAAATACAAGAGAGGATTCCCAAAGCCACAGAATGAAGGCTTTTACAATATCAATTCAACCCTTGTAAATTTAATCCAGGGTTATTTGTTGCTCCAAAATCTCTTTACTGTGATGTATTACTTAGTTACTGGGGTTATCACAGCCATATCCTAAAGTTGCATAGTACATAAAACATTTCAGTTAACAATGCGGGGAAGGTTAACTCCCCCAGATAACCTGCAATCACAAGGGCTAGTCCAGATGACATCCCTCTGTCAGCTTCCACAAGCTATTGATGGTTCAATCAGTTTGTTTTGAAGGTAAAGTACAACAAAAGGGCAGTAAACTTATTCAGACTGTCAACAGGGGCTATTGGGAATGGGGCTTGCAGGTAAGTAATTCTGGGTGTTTTAGGGCTATTATCAAACAGCAATGGTTGAAGGAAGAGACAGCTACTAATAACACAGAAGGCAGCCATCATAAACCACTTTATGGCAGAAACCTCCATCTATAAATCCTGCGACACCCGGAGACAGCTTCAGATTTATAAAACTGCTTGTTAAGCCAGGGCATTGCTTAATGAAAAGAGATCCGTCTAAGTTCTAAGTCTCACATCCCTAGCTCCAGAGGGCAACTCCAATGTTTCTGACCTTCTCAAGGTGGCTGGAGGGAAGCCCCGGGGCTGAGGTGGTCAGGGCCACTCCTGGCTCAGAAAGGGGAGCTGAGGTTATCAAAAGGAAAGCAGGGATCCTGGGACTCTGGGAAGGTGTTTACACATCCACTTAACTCTGTCTGGAAACGGATTTCCTAAAAGTAAGAGACCAGCACCCAGAGCTTTCCAGATTTTCTCTTTCATGCAGAATGTTTCATTTTCCTAAAAGACTGCTCTAAGGACAGAGCTAAAAATTATAGGAGGAAAAAAGGAACAACCCATAGGTTTTTTTTTTTAATCATCAAAATCAATTTTTTTCTGCTTCAATCCCCGTGTCCTAGCATTGCTCAGGGAGGACAGAGGAGGATATTCTTTCCTCCTGCCCACAACTGTTATCCCAGGGAACTGGCTGCTCCTCAGTAAGGAGGTACAAGCACAGAAAAGCCAGGATGTGTCTCTGCAATCTGCTGGTGGGGTTGGTTACCATGTTTCTTTCTCTGAGGTCCTGGTCCAGAACTACCAAGCTTCTAGTTCCTCAGAGAGACAGGCTGTAGGACACCAGAATTTATTCTATCCTTTCTGCCTGTGGCATTTTCTGCTTCCCTGCATTATTTCTTATCATTTTCATGCTCCCATACATGGAGAACAGGGAACATGGTGGAAGCTACTGATGCCCTACCAGGCACCCCAGAAGGCACCCGTGGGTGGGCCATGAACTGTTTTCAATCTTTCACAAAGCTTCGCAGAACAGGGTGAGCATGCTAACACATCATGCTTCTTTGCTGTTGACTGGATTATACCCACTCTGTTTGATAACACAGGATACCTCATGCTGATCACAAGCACTGATCAAATGCTAAATATGTCCAATTAATGAAAGAAAAAGTTAGCTTGGTTTACATGTCACTTAATGGAGAAACCAAAGCTTTGAAAATATAGGGGAGATAATTGAAAGGAAGGGAAGTATTCATAGTGAAGGGCTTGGAGAACAACAGGGCCAAAGAAAGAGCCCAAGCTTTGAGTTCATCTTGCTGGGTGATCTTGGCTCAGTCTCTGCTGCCTTTCTGAGCCTCAGTTTCTCCATGCAGTGAACGGGTGTCATGGGCCAAATGATGTGTAAGCCTCCTTCAAACTTTATTTTCCCTGAATTCTACGTGCCTCAAAGTT